ATCCTCAAGATCACATGCAGTTTTCACTATCACAGTGGAATCCATGGAGAAAATCAATGAGGTTGTTAACATTCGGTCTTCCCTGCTCAACCTGGTAGACTTGGCAGGATCTGAGAGACAGAAAGACACCCATACAGAAGGACTGAGGTTAAAGGTTAGTTCTGTCATATCTGTGGCATCTTTCTTCTTTCAGATGTACTGCCCTGTTCCATCCACCAAATCTGTTCACCTTTGTTCTCTTCTTGGTTTTGGTTGTTTTTTGTTTTTTGGTTTTTTTTTAGGAAGCAGGCAACATAAATCGATCACTAAGTTGCCTGGGCCAAGTAATCACAGCACTTGTTGATGTGGGTAATGGAAAACAGAGACACATTTGTTACCGGGATTCCAAGCTCACTTTTCTGTTACGGGTAATATATGTATTCGCTGGTTCTTATATGGTACTTGGGATGTAGAAAAACTATTTGTTTGGTTGTTGTTTTTTACTGTAAAGAGCTGAATATTAAAAATCTATTTCAATATTGGGCAAGTAGAAGAAAGCTTGAAAAAGATCTTTTTACCTAAACAGTCTTCCAGTCCATTTATTGCTGCTAACTGAAGACTTATTTATGCTCATGATCCCCTGTTACATATTTGCAAGCTTTAAAGAAAAAGCAGCGTATGTTTTCATCCCTATAAGTTGGGAAATACTGTGTATCACAATGTAATATTTAAAGATATGTTGAAATGTTTGACAGGATTTTCAGAATTAGCCTACGTGTGCTAAGTGTTGGCATGATGGTAAGAACTAGCTAAACTTAGTTTCCTACCTGAGAGCTTAGGGGGTCGTTTCAAGATGAGCAGAAAACAAAGATGTAAGCAGTCAAAGATTTGTTGGATGCTAGCATTCACTAAAATTATGTGAACAGTAATGAATAATATCTGTAATCTATTTTTGTATTATAATATAGTACTTGTACATAATACTTGTTATAACACAGTATTGTGATCACAGCAAATTTCCCAATCATTCCATATCTCTTCTATCTATATCTTGAATTCATGAACATCTGAAGAATTATGTTCTTCCAATGCAACCCAAAATACATAGAAATCGGAAGACAATTGCAACTGTATGAGCTGTTACTTCCTTAACTGGTTATTTTTTTTAGGTGGTTGTACTGCAAAGAAGTCTGCAAACATGACCTTCTCTACTCAAGAAGGAATGCCATTGAGGCTTGTGGGCTGTTTTGTAGCACTAGATTTTTAGTCTTAGGTATAACTGCTGCCTTCTCCAAAGATTTGAGAGCTGTTTGTTTAACAGCACAGAAATATCTGAAGACATTCATGTAAAAGGGAGAGGTTCCTTTTATATCTTTGGTCAAGAATCTGTTTTGTGACTTTGTTTGTTTGGGAATTGCCACCAGAAGATAGGTTGGAACAATCAGTAGGCTAGATGATGTTCAAAGTAGTGCAAATACCAATCTGCTAATTACCAAGATTAAAGGGAAATACCTATTCCCTGAATTTTTTTCTGTTGTGATGTTTTTTCTCTCCCTGCTGTTCAGGTGGAAAAAAGCATCTCAAAATGTTGATAAGTAATATAGAGTCAGCTATTTGAAAATCCAAATAAAGGATTTATTTACAGTCACATCCTTCATACCCACATTTGAAATAAGATTTCAGAAACTTACCTAGCATGGAGATTTGTTAAATAAAATCTCTTCTGCGATTTGTTCAAAATGAAACACAGTAGCTCTTAGGTGATGGCTTCCTGCCATCACCAAAAACATGCATATAAGGTTAACTTTCATGTTTTTAAATAGGATTCTCTTGGTGGCAATGCAAAAACATGTATAATCGCAAATGTTCATCCGGGATCTAGGTGTTTTGGTGAAACACTGTCCACTCTTAATTTTGCCCAACGAGCGAAGTTGATTAAAAACAAGGTAAGAGACTTACGTCATGTCTTTATTGTTGCAACAAACAATTTTTGTCATTTAAACTACACATCTGCGAACAGCCTGGCTTCATTGAAAGACTCGTGCTTTCACTTAATTTAAAGGAGTATAACTTACTTTGAAATACTACATTTGCTTTCCTAAATGTTTTTTTATGAAATTATTTTTGAAAAGAACTTGTTTGCTTTTGATTACGAGTAGAGTACAACAGCTGGGGACTAGGTAATGGCTGATAATAGTGTGTATTCATTGCTTGTTCTCAGAGTCTTCATTAGAAAAAGTAAAAAGTAAATCTGTACTAAAACTTAAAATTGTCATAAAAAATTTGGATTCAATAGTATTTCAGTGTGTCTAGGTTTTATATATGCTAATACCCCAAATGTAATTTCTAATGAGTGGGTTTTGAAAGTTTGTTGGCGTCTGGCTGGAAACTGCTGTCCTCGAGGCATGCTGCTTTGTTGGTCAAAAAGCCCCAGACAAAATTCTGCAGAAAACGTTAAATTGTTTAACCAATGTTTTTAGCTAAAGTGCAACTTATTTAGTTCTCAGTAAATGGAATGTTTTTCCTGTGAGTTCTTGCTCTCCTAAGATGGAAAGACTTCTCAGTAGTTTTGCTGCTTTGCAGTCTTTGAGTTTTTAAGATTTTTTTTTTATTTGTACCTTTTAATAATTTTCTCTTAACATGTTTATGAAAGGCTGTGGTAAATGAAGACACACAAGGAAATGTCAGCCAGCTGCAAGCTGAGGTCAAGAAGTTGAAAGAGCAGCTTGCTCAGCTTACTTCAGTGCCATCTGTGCATGATATTTCTGTATTACAAGGTAAGAGTTGGGGGTTCAGGGAGGGAGAATTTGCTACTTTTGTAGCCTAGAGTGTTGGAGCCTTACGTTATTCGTTAAGTTTATGAACAATTAATATTTTTGTAGGAACTGACCTACAGGGGTTGCATTTGTCTTACAGGTCCTATTGCTTGTATTTGTATCTAGTATTTTGCAGAAATTGTTAATATTTTTATTTTCTTCCTTTCATAAGTTTGTGTACAGGGCTATGGTTTTATTACATAATACCTAGAATAGTCTTCCAGCTTGTAAGAGGTATGCTGCCTAATCCTTCAAGTAATCAAAAGTTTACATGTGATTGCTTGTGCATTTACATTGGAGAGAGGGCACTAAGGTGTTGATAATGCTACATTCTTTTTAAGCTCAGGACTGGATTTTTTCCCCTCTTCCCTTTTTTGCCCCTTCAGGAAGATCCCAAGAAGGATGTTTACCTTTCAATAAAACATTGATTTCAATGTAAGATGGTAATAGGGGGTTTATGTGTGGGTTTTTTTTTTTCTTCCGGCAGCTTTTCACTAGACCATTGTATCTGCAATAGAGGTCCCAGCATAGCTCTCTACTATGTATACTTCTTACTGAAACACACTACCTTATAATGTTTGATTACAAGGTAGTAAACTTGGTCTTGTAACTCTTGCTGTGTTCCTGAGTCAACTCTTTCCTGACCTTGCCAAGAAATAGAAGATACAGCAACAGAAGTTTACTACAGAAGTTAGAAAGACTTGTCTAATATAAAGGATCTGTTGTTGAGTTTGCCTAAGGAAAAAATACTTCTGTGTTAGCATACAGATTTAACCAGTAAAAACAAGTCAGTGATTACTTGAGACACTGAATCACTGTCTGTGAATACAAATATATTGACAAGAGGGCTCAAAAATGTTTAGACCCGTGACAGAGTTCTGAGGGAAAGCAAGTGATGATACTTAAACACTGAAGAGAGGTTTTATGCAGAACCTAATATATTAAAGCTGTGTTTAGTCTATGCATTTAACTTATGTTTGTAATATTCAGTCACACAAATTTGAAATCTGCTTGCTAGATACTTTAAAAACGTGATGGCACTTTTTAATATATTAAATTACTGTAGGGTAGTTATTATGGTGATTAGTATTCTATAAATAAGTAGTCTTGCCTGCATGATAATATTCAGGAAAGCTATTTTGAATTAATTTCTGAAGTGGATTAGTTAAGCCCTTTTAATTCCTTGTGTGGATGCTTTCCTTCCAGATTAAATCACTAATTGTCCACTTAGTTCATGCTTGTTTTCCTGAATTTCCTTCTCCTAAACCGTTAGTCCACTTTTAATATGTACAAACTGTAGTAATAACGCCAATAATGGCTTAGTGTTATCAAATTAATTTCAGAGGGGTTTTGCATTTTATTTATAGATATGCTCAGCTGAGCAGACTGATTCTTTTATTTTAATTAAAGTTCATTGTAAAGCTGTTTAATGCTTGAACAACTTTGTTAATTATACAGTTATGTATATTGACTCTGTTCTTTCTCAGCACTTGCAGGTGACTAGGAATTACTGTCTAAACTTCTTTGCTCTGGATATGGCATATGATCTTTGCAGAGGAATTCTACAGTTTGAAGAATTTATTTAAACTTTCTTTACACAACTGTCACATTATATATGCAGGAAAACCTGGTTAACTGGTATTTTAATAAATATGGCATTTGTTTCTTTGACTTACTCTACAGGTGCTGTTGAAAAAGGGAAGAACAACATAAATTACATGAACAACTTCCTTGAAGCAATGTTGTTCTGGGAGAAATCAGAAGGCGAAAAGAAGGTAAGACAGCACCAATATTTCTAAGTGCATTCTGTGTGCTACTCTCTGAGACATCAGTAAGCATATTGAAACTGACTCTTTTCATGAATTTTCTTTGTTTTTGTATTAAAATACTCTGCCCAAAGATAAGGTTTAACAAGAGAACTTAGTCCAATGACATTTCAGATAAAATCTGTAGTCCTCAGAAGGACTACAAGGATTTCATGAGGTTATTCAGGGAGAAAACTAGAAGGGGCAAAGCCCAAATAGAACTTAATCTGGCTACTACCATAGAAGACAGTAAAAGATGTTTCTATAAATACTTTGGCAAAAGGAGAGCTAAGGAGAATCTCCATCCTTAATTGGATGGGAGAGGGAAACATAGTCACAAAGGATGAGGAAAAGACAAGATACTCAGTCTTTAACAGTAAGATCAGTTGTTCTCTGGATACCTGGCCCCCTGAGCTGGAAGAAAGGGATGGGTTGCAGAATGAAGCCCCCATAATCCAAGAGGAAATGGTTCGTGACCTGCTACACCACTTAGACACATACAAGTCTATGGGCTGGATGGGATCTACCCAAGAGTACTGAGGGAGTTATCAAGCATTGGAAGAGGCTGCCCGGGGAAGTGGTTGAGTCGTCATCCCTGGAGGTATTAAAAAGACATGTAGATCTGTGCTTAGTGCCCTAGTTTAGTGGTGGAGTTGGCAGTGTAAGGTTTATTGTTGGACTTGATGATCTCAAAGGTCTTTTCCAACCTAAACAGTTTCATGATTCGATTCTATATTAAATTCAGACAAGCCATAGGATAGCTTTCATAGGATGTTTAGTTTTAGGGGGTGGGTTGTTTTATTGGGATTTTCTAATGAAAAAGTTGAACAGAACAGCAAACTTCTGTTTTGCTGAATTTTGAGTGCATCTTTGACACATCAACAGTGTGTTTTTTGAAGCAAACATCCCAGTCATCCCTATTTTATTGTGCTTTGGTTCATGTCATGGCACAGTACTGAATCAGCCAAAATAGATTTTTTTATTTTTTTAAGAAAATGGACTGAAACAGGCACTCTAGGGGTGCGTCTGATGTGCTTAACCGAATGCTTAGTCTACCAGATCATGTTGGAATTTTTAAATAAAGTTTTTGCAATATAGTGTATAATTTGGGTTCTTGCTATGAGCTGTTGCTGTCTACAGATCTGCTCCAAATGATAGTCTGTGTATTTACAAAATTACTGTTAACTGAGTTTTGCATGATTTGTCTGTGTGTGTGTACGTGATATGTGCACCTTAAAAATTCACCTAGTGTAACTGTCACTTTCCACCAATTTGTATATGTACTTTCTAAGAATTTATTAGAAAAAATTGCTCAACTAGAAGATCTGTGTGCCAAGAAAGAGAAATTTATTCAGTCCAATAAAATGATAGTTAAATTCCGTGAAGACCATATTGTTCGCTTGGAGAGATTACATAAAGAGGCTGGTGGAAGTTTATTGCCAAAAGAACAAGATGATCTCCTCAGTGAATTGAGGGAGGAATTGCAGACACTCAGAGAACAGGTAAGTCTTTGGTATTTCCTTTATAGAACAATTTTCTTTTGTGAGGATAGCTCATGTGATGGAGTGCTATGAGGGGTGGATATAGGCTTTTAGGAAAGAGGAGGATGGGTGGTAGGTTCCTTTATAGAAGCATCTCGAATGCATGGAGTTCCCCTGTGGCAGGGACAATGGGTGGGTTTAGAGCTTGTGAGTTTGCATGAGAGGAGAGATTAGTAAGGGCAATGTCATGGTGGGAGCTTGCTACAGGCCACATCGTCTGGGTTAGGCAGAGGACTAAGTCTCCTTTAAGCAACTCAAGAAAGTCTCCAAATCATAAAATCCTCATTCTTGTGGGAGACTTTAACCTCCATGACATCTGTTGAAAGGGAAAGTAATACAGCAGGTTTCTGAAGGATAAAAACACAGATGCTAGATGGGCCAAGCAGGGGTGATGCGCTCCTGGAGCGGTTTGAGGAAGGCAAGTAGCAAAGTACATACCTAAGGCTTCTGGTTACTGAGGTATCTGGTAAGTGTGGTATCATTTGTGAGGCAGTTCTGAAGAACAAAGCAGCTCAAGAGAGAAGGCAGATTCTTTAAAAACAATTTCCTCCAAGCACAAGTAAGAAAAAGCAGTAGATGTATTGCAAGACCAGCTTGAATCCATAGCTCATAACTGAGCTCCAAAGTGAAGCGGGGTGGGGTACAGAAGTCAGGACAGTCATTAAAGGACTACAGAAATGTTACTATGGCATGCAGGGATAATGTTAAGAAAGCCAAAGCTCAAAGTTGAAACTGAAAAGGGACGTCAAGAGCAGCAAGAAAAACTTCTTTATTACCCGTAAAAGAGTAAACAAATAAAATATAGACCTACTGTCTTTTTGGAGAGCAGATTCCAAGGGAGTAAGAAAACTAACAAAAAAAATTGAGGCAGTTTTAACCACTGTAGGGAATACACTTCTTTTTTCTCCTCTTCCATTACAATTTAATGCTTATTAAAGATAGTATAGCAACAGCTAGATATGTATAGCATTGTCTGGAAAATAAACTGTTGAATAAAATGCTGCTTATCACAGATGGAACAACACCCACGAATTGCAAAGTATGCCATGGAGAACCATAACCTCAGAGAAGAGAATAAAAAGCTTCGTTCTTTACAGTCAGTTAAGAAGGCTCAAGAAATTGATGCTCAGACCATTGCAGAGCTAGAAAAAGCTTTTTTGGAAGCTTCAGCCACAGAGAAATATGCTGGAGGTAAAAATATGCTAGTGTTTTTCAGCTAAATAAGCTTACTGTATTTCTGTTGTGTGCTGTGTAGTGTTGAAAATGCCTGTCTTGATGTATTTTTGCCACCTTCAAAGTGCTACCTGAAGACTGATGAAACAGGTTTACTTCATTTTATTCGTGTTGGCCTTCCAGCAATACGGCAATAGGGAATTTGGATTCTTGTGCAGCTTGTGAACACCTTTGACAATCTGATTTTGCTGTCCTTAGTTGTTCTGAAGACTGCAGTAATATTAATTATACTAATGGTTTTCATGTGGACTGTTGCTAATACCTGTTTTCTTCAATCTCAATTGCTGCTATGCTGTTCAAAAGCCTACAAATGCTTTCATTTTAGAAAAACTGAAGAAATTTGAGCTACTTTGTCATTTCAGAGGGTATATGTTTATTCTTTAGGTCATCATTTATATTCCACCACCATATCAGTGGATGGCAACTCACTGGCATCTGTTGAAAGGCTGAAAGCACGCCTGCTGCAGACTCAAAGTGAACTGGCAAGTTCAAAACAAGAATATGAAGAATTTAAAGAGCTAACCAAGTGAGACAAAACAGTATAGAAATGTCTTTAATTAAATGTCTTTAAATACTTACGTTGGTTTTTAAAAGTTAGTCTCAGATCCTGAATATACAGTCTAAGTATGTTCTTTGTGTGCAAGAGAGGGCCAGGTTAAGAAAAATGGCATGCACACAGAATATGTTCCTGTTGAACTCTGTTACTCCCAGGCTAGGAAACAACCATGATGCAATCTGATGGCATGTCTGCACTGTGGCAGATTTCTTTGCCTTTCCAAAAGCTTCTCTTTATGCTAAGATGCAAAACAGTGCTTCGCAACATTCAGGAGATGCACATGCCCTGCAATTCTGATAGTCACCTCCTTAACGGGACAGGGAGAGTTTGGCTTAGTTTCCATGTTGAGCAAGTACTTTTCAGTAACTGAAATATTAGAGATGGAAGCAGTGACAGGAGCTAAGAGTTGATGGGTTTTGGGGGATGTATTTTGGTTTTGATTTAGTGCAACAGCCTCTTTAGGATTGCAAGTTTGAGTGGCCATAAATGTAGAATCCAAGCACCCCAGAAAATTTTGGCTAACCTGTTGGTTAATTTTTTGTCTCCACTTCAAAGATTTTTTTAAGGTGGCAATAATACCAATATACCAATATCTTGAGGCTTGTTATTGGAACAGAGATTTAATTCAATTTAGAGCAAAGACATGGTGTCAATAGTTCATTCATGTCCACTTGCTTTGGCATCTGAACATGAGACCAGGGTCTACTTTGTCCTTACTAACATAGTAAAGAATTTACTGTCCTTGTTCTCCTTGAGGGCAGTGCAAGATAATGTGAAAGGCCTGAGTAATACCTTAGTGTGTATCTATTCATATGCAAGTGAATAATGCATGGCTTAACATGATCACCCCCATTTCTGAAAAATTCAGGTCCTGTTACTGGAGATACAAGAAAAATATTTGCATCTCCAGCGAACATAATGTAAACCCGGAAGGCAAAATGGACCTAATTTTTTAAATTATATTTATTTTTATCTTGTACCTAATTTTGTTGCTTTCTATTGATTTCAGTGAATTTAGAGTGTAATTCTAGAAGCACTGGGCACAAGATACTTCCATTTTTGCCTCTTTTTTGTGCAAAGTAGCTTTGTGATGTCCTTTTCGCTCATTCAGGCAATTGCACAAATCTGGATTTTTATTCTTAGATTTCTGTGTGGCAAATCCTATGAACTGTAGAAATCATGTTATCTACAGCGTTTTTCAATTGAACAATCATCTATTGTCCTGTATCATTAGTGAAAATTGTTTATTTATATCTTCATCTATTACCTTATTTTCCTGTGTATTCAATGTATTCCTATTGTATGTACTCCATGTTTCATGCATGTCTTGCTTTCTTGACAGTATGTATGCATTTTTATTATCAATTACTGACACTTTCTTAGTGGAGTGCAGTCAAACAGAAATGTGCTTTTGAGCCACTGGATTTCATTAAATTTTAAACTTGTTTCCAGTTGCTCAGAAACTGGATGCTTAATTTTACATGCAAGTGTAACTATGTGCTGTAACTGAGTAAGTAGAGTAAAACGTAACAATTTCACAAAATCAAGGTATGCTAATTTTTCTGTTGTCCAATAGCAGCCAGAACTAAAGTTCTACTCTGTTCCGTAAGTTTTGTTGTAGATGATAAAAACACGAGGGAAAGGGATGGAGTTGAACTGCCAAAAGATGAAATAGTGTATTTCCTTTTGTCTGTAGACTTTGACCCTACAATTATGTCAGTAAGGCCAGCTATCACAGTAACGGCATGTAGCTCTGCAAAATACCTAATGAAAATTATTCCTAAATTTCTGCTCAACTATTGGATTTCAGTTAAAGTACTCTGAGGGAAAAATAATCTTAACAGAGCAGCACTTCAGAAAAAAAAAAAAATCGTTAAAAGGTTTTCTTTAATCCTGGCAAGCACCAGTTCAGACTTCTCATATAACCGGATAACATTTTTAAAGCTTAAAACCATATTGGTATGGGTGATACCACTTTCTCATAAAAGGAATTGCAGAGCTCTCAGCTTATTTCTTACCGTGTAATGGATTTTTTCTGACACATTTGGTTATCCATCTGCTTGCTTCATTATGCAAACACAAATAAGCTTCTTAGCATTTTATTTTTTTATTATTATTATTTTTACTCTTTAATACAGCAGTGGTGGCTTTCTTCTCAAAATAATGTATTTCAATATTTGGGCAAGTGTTCAGCTTCAGTTTGCTCATTGGCCATACTGCAGCTTATTCTTAGTGATGGGAGGCCGTACTGATGGAGTGGTTTTGACGGTAGCAAAATACTTCCTAAACAGGAAAAAGCATATGGAACTGGAATCGGAGCTTCAATCCCTCCGGAAAGCAAACCAACATCTTGAAAACATTCTGGAGGCAACCAAAGCACACAAGCGCCAAGAAGTCTCTCAGTTACATAAGCTACATAGAGAAACTCTTAAGGTATGAAAGTAAGTTTATTTAAAACCACACATACTTTATCCTGAGTTGTGTGAGAACATAGACTTTCATTTGTATGATCCCTTAACCTAACTAGTGTGCTGGCGTGTAATCCATATGTGACAAACTGGATACACTGCTCTTCTGATCTGAAAAACTTACTGAATGACTGCTGCTGTAGTCAGATGACGAATCTGAAAAAGTGTAGTGGTTTAGAACTAACCACACCAAGCGTTTTATGTCATTATTCTGCTTATAGAACTATGAAATACAGTACCAGAGAAAGTTTTAATTCCATTTTACAGTTAAAATAAAGGCTGCTTTGTCATCTTTGTAACAGAACATAACCACCCCAACAAAAGCTTACCAGCTAAGATCTCGCCTAGTCCCACGAATAAGCCCAGAAATCTTAGATTATCATTCTGAAGATTTTCAGTGTCCTGAAGAGAAGATGGATGATATTTTGAAAGAGCCAGTTCCCCCAGAGATGAATGAACAAGCTTACGAGGCCATTGCTGAGGAGCTCAAAGTGGCACAGGTGAATGTTCTGAATAAAAACTGAAGTGTTTGTGTAACTTTATAATAAAGCAGGTTTGGGCATGAAATACTTCCCCCTCACCAAATATATCTTAATTTGCATGGGAAACTGAAGCACTTGATGAATACTTAAGGCTTCGCTAAACAGTTTTCTGATTATGCATTGTACTTCAAGAGGATTTACAATGAAAATATTGAAAGGGACGCAAGAGTTGAATATTGTAAGTAGTTTAAGATATACGGGGCATTTAAACTTTTTCTACTTTAACCTGATAACTTGTTTCTGAGGAAACTTCTTTCTAAGTCTCTGGTGACAGCTAGATTTGGAACAATACCCAAGCTTAATATATAATACTGCATTATTTGAAGAAACCTGCCAAATAGCTCTTGTCCACCATTATACCTTAAATGTCTTGTATCTTTTCTAAAGGGCAGGGAAGGTCTTTTGTCACACAGTGCTACACAGTTATCTGAACTACTCTCTAGAAGCTCGAACTACCTTCAGTGTATGTAAAACCCTGGCACAACAGCCAAAACCCCTCTGATGCTTACTATAGTGCAGAGATTCTGTAAGGAATTTAGCTAGCGTGTATTTTGAACGCCTTCTTTTTAAGGTCTTATTTCTCCAAGATAAACATGTGTCTGAAAACTGTTTATTGGATTCAGTCCCTGTATTCCCTGACAGATTTTATTGTGTTTTGGCAGTTTAGTTAGCAACAGGAGAATCATCTACTTAAGATACCAGTTTATTTTTGAATGTTTTGTTTTTTGTTGGTTCAGGTCATAAAAGAAGGTAGTTGACATTTTTATATTTAATATGCACAGACTTCCATATGGCATGTGAGAATAACTGGAAGATGAGTGCTCTAATTTTGAGTGTCTGTTGTGTCACAGGAGCAACTGAGCACAATGCAGACAAAGCTGGATGAAGAAGAAAGCAAGAATATAAAACTCCAGCAGCATATTAATAAACTGGAGCATCATTCTGCACAAATACAGGAGGTGAGAGAAAAATATAATACAGGGCTGTATGTGAGTGTGTGTATATGACAAGGTAATATCTACCACACTCATACTACTGTGTCATTTAGTGAGGTCTGCAGTGTTACTTGCATTTTGACTTGAAAAATTTGCATAGCATCATAGTTCAGGGCTGTGCAGGAAGACAAGGACTTCATTTAACATAACACTGCAGGTTTGGGCTTTTTTGTTTTGATCTTAAATATAAGCAAATAGACACTCAAGAAGTCTGTGCTTGGTTTTGACCAGCTCTATGATTTCTGGAAAACAGCAATAGTCACAAGGAAATTTTAAACTTTGCAATGCTGAAAATACTACTTGCCTCAGTTGGAACTGAACTGAAATGTCCTTACTCTATAAAATATTTACAAGTCTTCCTTAATCACTATGTTTGTTTTAACATAGAAAAGGAAATAAAGCCTGTATTCTTCCCAGATCGGTCTCATTTCTGATAGCTCTGTTATGAAGTAGATCTCTGCTCCTGAGCTGTGTATTGCTTTTTAAAAAAATGCTTTTAGATAAGGTAATGTCTTCAGTTATACTGAATTTTTTTTTCTTGGACAGAAACGGATTTCAGATTCACCAAACATCAAATTTAAAGAAAGATGCATCTTGTATTTATAATTGCCTGATGAAATGCTCTAATACATTATTACATCATTGTTACAGCTCTGTAATTTAGCCACTCCTACATTTCCTTCCATTTAAAAATGTTACTTCTCTCCTCAAGCTTCTTTCGTCCGAAAGGAATGACTGGAGTAAAGGGCGCCAGGAGCTCCTTGAACAGATAAAATTGCTTGAAAAGCGATTGCAAGACAGTCAAAGCAAGACTGACAGTAAGTCTATGTGATGCTGAAATTCCATACGAAGTTTTGAGGTGTCTTAATGTTTTGAATCAACAATAGCACATGATGAGTAAATATTTGGGTTGTTAGTCATCCTGGTTTGATTTTTTAAATTTTTTTTAAAGAAAAAAAATCTAATACTTGCAGAATAGCTTTTCTCTACCCAGTCTTGTATAGTATACAATATTCAAAATTGTTCTCTGTTCACTCTGAATGTGTGAAGGAGTACAGGGTATAGTATTTTTAAAAGAAAATATTGGCTAAAAATAAAAGGGAAATCTTCTATTGGTCTATGGAAATGCAGTGATATTGTCTGGAATGTTTTTGAATCTGCCTGTACTCTTCAGTTCTTAAAGTCAGTGTTTCATTGACCTTTTCCATTTACAAATCCTTTTTGTATGTGACCTTCAAGGTTAATTCCACTGAAAATGTGTAAATTTTTGTGAGACTTTCCCAGGACATTCTGTAGTGTTACATGTCCTGTATCTAGCACAGTTTTCCAAATAACATGTAAAATATTTATTTGTTTTTTTGACAGTATTAAAAAGTGAAGTCTGTGACTTGCGCATTGTCCTGCAGTCTGCAGACAAGGAGCTGTCTGCTGTAAAATTGGAATACAGTGCCTTTAGAGAAAAGCAGGAGAAAGAAATGAGTCAGCTTTCTGGTAGACACATGGATGTACAGTTCCAGCTGGACAGTGTCAGGTATGTTGGCAGTTTGGTAAAATGCCTTAACCTGCCTTCTGGATGCATCCAGTGATTTGATTCTTCCTTTCTGCATGTGAACTTGCACTTTTCTTATTTAAAGTTGTTATTTTGTGTTTATGTCCTTTGCTTGTTGGTTTTTTTTTTCTCAATTCTTTCTATGCGTAGTTCAGAGCCGTGGGGGGAACATGGTGAAATTAGCAGAAGAAAATGAAATTTTCCTTAATTTTGGTTTGCTATAGCATTTTCCCTAAGTAGGATATACCTATAAACTTACTGATCTCCAAAACTTAAGTGGCTGAAGAGGCATAGTTTTTTGGGATTTTTTTCCAATTTAGTCTTAAAAATTAACTGTTACTTCTCAGTCTGGTCACATGAAGCAGGTGACATAATGATGCTGCTCTAAAAATAAAAGCAGAAAGAAACTATAAAAGAGAAACTTCAGTTTGACTATCAAAGCCTGAAAAGCTCACTGCCTTGTATGCGATAATTGCCATTATTGTTGGGAGATGAAAATCAGTGAGGTTTTTAATCATTAGTATGACCTAGTTATGTTATGTTTGGTTATTGTGGGGTTTTGCTTGGTTTTGTGGTTTTGTTTGGTTTTGTTTTCCCCTGGAAAGCTTAACTATGCTATTGCATTATAGCAGGTCATGTCTTAGCTGAAGTCATTTTTTGAGTGACTCATTGTGAGACTGGGAACCTGAAATTGAAATTAAATGTTGTGATTTTATTAATGCTTCCATGTTATCAGAAGTACTGACTATTCTTTCTATAGGCCCTCTACTAATAACATGATGCATAACACTTGTCTTCAGCTCTTTTACCCCTCTCTTCTTTTCACTTTCGTGAAAGATCATATGAAATAAGTTTTTCAGGGCAACAGTTTAGAGGAAAATAACCCAGACTTGCCCAAAATATATCAAGATTTTGTGTGGGATAAATAACCTAGATATCAAGTAAGTTAGACGTAGGTACTAAAGATCATTTTAGCAGAGTCTTGTCCAACAACTGGCTAAAAACCAAAAAAATTAAAAAAAAAAAGGGCGGACACCATTATCAAGACAGAGTGACTGAAATTTCTATAGAATTTTGTTAGTAGTAAATTCCCCGGGATCAGAAAGGAGTAGTCTGCTTTCTCTGCCAATGCCACTTAAATTTCCTGTGCCCTTCATGAATTTGGGGTTTCTGAGCTTAAAAAAAGTTATTATTTATGTTAGTCCTTCCTTTCTAAAATAACTGTACTTTGTATATTATCTGAAGATTATAAAATATAATTGGAGTTTATTTATAATGAAACAAACCCTTATCTTAACATTGTGGGGGGGTTTGGTTTTGTGTCGTTTTTTTTTTATAAAGGCTAGAACATGAAAAGATTCTTGAAGAAAAAGCAAGTCTGCAGGATGACTATGACAATTTGCAGGAAGTAGCAAAGTTTGAGACCGATCAACTGAAGCAACAACTTGAGGACAGAAAACAAGAAGCAGAAGCAATGAAAGCTGAGCTTTGTGTAAGACAGTCAAGGCTTTTAAAGGACTTTATTATACAGTTACTCATGTAGCCAGATTTAGTTCCCGTTGTTGTATCATCAACAATAGATTCCACGGTAATAATAGGTTTCCTAGTGACTTCATTTGGAAGACGTACCCAGAAACTTTTTTAAAACTTAGTGCAGGATTTTTGCAAGCACAGGCTACGAGAAATATCTAGTAGCATGATGAAGTAGTAGGCTTTTCTGGTGAAAAAACTGCTCTGGAAATGTTGAGGGAAATGTGTAGTTAGTAAAGGAATAAGAAACTGCTTTGGAAAAGAATCCTGATGTCGAAATGCTGATGACTTCATCTCAGTGCTAGCAAAGACTAGCTTACTTATTCTATCTTTATAAAGCAGTTTCTTGAAAATTTTCATAGTGGATTCTTATCTTATTAAAATGATCTATGGCTTTTTGTGGTGGATCACTGTCCTGCAATTCAGTTGATGCTGTCCTTGAAAGCCTGTCAGACTGCAGTGAATGCTAAACAGCAGTAAGGTTGCTCAAGGGCTTTTGCAAATGATTTTGCCTGCTTTTCTGCAATGTACACTGTGCCTGCTCAGCAAGTGTGCTATAAGTTTTCCTTTTTAGTGTTTAAAGGAATACTGAGAGATTGAAAATTATTATTTTAAATTCCTTATAGACTAGTATTTTGAACTGCTGGTTAGAATTTGAAAAATCCCCCCAAGTTAATCTGCAATTGAAAATTCTAATTTCTCCCTTTAAAGCCTTGGATATTGAGGAAAATTATAGTTATGTGAAATTATTATCAATGGCAGGTGAAAAGAGCTGGTTGCTTAATATGAAGAAGAGTTAACTTTTGAACTTTTCCAGGACAAAGCTAAAGATCTTTGTTTTGATTTAAGATTTCATGGGGTTTTTTTTCAGTTGTCTTAGGAGTTTGTTTAGATTTTTATTTTGTTTTAAATTATTCTAAAGACCTTATGTTGTAACTTGTTATAACAACATATATACAACATATATTTTCATATTCTAGAGCCTTTTGAAACTCCTGAAAACAGAAAAAGAACATACTGAAAAACTAACATTGCAATTGCAAGAAGACAAAGAAAACAACTCAAAGTAAGTTTTAATTAGCAGTGGGGTTTATTTTTGTCTGACTTCATTGGTTTTGTCCTATTCTAGGTTTTGTGCACCCTGCTTGTAGAGGTGTTTTTCCCCAGCTAGGTGGAGATGGTTACATAATGGGCTTTTTTTATTTTATCCAACTTAGAACAACACTTCATTTTAAGTATTCAATTAATGTGACAAATGTAATTTCATTACAAGTCTAGTTCTTCATGTCAAAGATTAAAGTTCCACTACTGATAGCAGTGTATGGCTAGTAACTAAACTATTAGTCTCTTGTGTAGCACTGAGAAGGTGATAGGTAAACAATTCTCAAAAAAAAAAAGTGCAAATAAGAATAAACTTATATGATTTGTTTCTTGTTAAAACTCTCCTATGTTCTGATTATATTTCTCACTAGAAATATGTTTTCTTTTCCAGGGAGCTCTTTAAAGTACTTGAAAAAGCACAGGTGGAGAAACCATCCTCTGAAATGGTGGCACGAAGTGAGCAGCAGGTACAACAGCAGAATTGAATGTCTACATCACGTGTTCATGGATTTCCTCATGCATTAATAGCAATTTGATTGGCAAACTGACTGTTCTCTTGATTACTAGCAAAATAAATGTAGAGTTCTCAAGTTTCAGATTGTTTTGTTAAGCTGCTGCTTAATTTTTATGGTGAAGTAAACAACTTGGTTCCTTCCATTTATTTAATGACTTTGTGCTTTACAAAACATACTTCAAAAGTAATTAAATCTCTCCTTCACAATTATTATTTATTCTAGGAAGCAAAACTGCAGAAATTGGAACAGGAGCTGGCTGCTGCTGAAGAGATTATTGCTTCTTTGAAGAAGACAAATGATACTGATAAGGTTTGGGCTTATTTCTGTTACTGATACCCAGTTCTGTGGGTAACTATGTTCCGTAGTAGAGTTCAAAGCCCAGAGCTTTTCTGTGGTACTTAGTAATTCTGTGCTCCTAGGCAATCCTGGCTGCATGTCTAGGTAAAATAAATCCTAGCTTTTACTGGCATTGAGTTTGCAGGGTGGTAGGAAACTGGAATGCATTCAGAGAAAACACAAGATAACTGAATGTTAAACAACAACCACAAAAAAAACAAGGTAAAGCTGAGTGCTGGACAAAACATTCAGTGCATAAAGGATGCATCATTCCCGTGATGATTAATAGGGCCTTTCAGTCAGTGCTATCTTGCAATGGGCTAATAGAAAAGGTAAGAAAGAGGATGTAAGAATGTGACTGGGTATCTTATTAATAAAATCAAAGCAGTTTTACATGAAAAGACTGCTCCAGCATTTTGAAAGCCTAAATAGCAAATGTTCCTGTAGTACAAGCATTTATGCTATATGTAAAACAGGCACAAGAAATTACATACTGTGTTTACTATCCAGCACGAGGCATTGATAAGTCTTGCTGTTTCCATGCTAAAATCAAAAATTTGTCATGTCTAAGGTCAGAAGAACCTGGTAGTGCCAGTGCAGTTTTTTTTCTTTGAATGTGACTTTTTCCATTAGAGAAATGTAACCTTAAACTATAGTACTGCTATTCTCCTATTAGAAACCCATTACAGCCTGAGACTAAATCAGAGGGCTAGTCTTCTAATGAACACAGCAGGTTATTTAATTCTTTGCATAAGTGCTTAGAACAAAAGCAAATGATTTTACAACAAACTTCCTGTTGCTCCTTTACATGTACATACTGAGGCTCATTTTCAAAGGGCTGTTTGAAATTTGGGATTGACAAATTATATACCATATTCCAGTAATACATTATATATATTTTACATATATTTTATCAGGATTAACTTTTTTATGTTGCAGGAAGTTGTAACGGACTTGATGAGACAGATCCAGGAGCTGAGATCTTCAATAAATCATAAAACTGAGTCCATAGACGGGCTGACAAGAGAGCTCGAGGATATAAATGTATGTTCTGTCATTTTGAAGGGCATGGTATAGTTTTTCAGAAATGGAAGGCAACGATGTGTCTTATCATGGGTCTCAAACAGCATAACTTGCTGTAGTGTTTTAGAAGGAAACTTTGTTTTCACAAGTTGAAATCTTCTGAACATTTTATGCCTAAGGCTGTCTTGAAAACTGAACTCTTTCCACATGGTAGGTAGAGCAGTGACTCTACAGGGACCTGTTCACATACTGTAAACTACACTCAGCTGACAGTCACATTTTGATTTTCTCAGAAATTGGCAATTTCAGACCTCAACAACTGAAACTGAGTTCTAAATTAATTTTGGGGGGAGTGAATTTTATGTTGCTGATATTACTATGTTCTATGTCTGAAAACAAGTATAAAGGACTAAAACTATGTATTTGAATAATTATGAATGAATATGATGCATCTTTATTAAAATAGGTGTGGTTTGCAAACTGATAAAGGAACCCACAGGATGCTTTACATAATGTATATATTTATGAACTATGAATTCAAAAGGTCCTGCAGACAAACTATTGATGAGATAGATTTCTACATATGGTTATCTGGGTTTTTTAATAATGGTTTTAGTGGTTAATATGTATTGTGGTGGCTAATACATATTAAATTAATAATCTTTTTCCATTTTTCTGACAACTCATTTCTAATAACATAGTTTATACAATTAACAAGTATGATAGATCATTCTGATTAGTCGTTGACACTGGGATTTTTAACGTTTGTAGATGTTATCATAAGGTTTGTGATATACATTTATTTGTATTATGTTTGCCAGCTTTCTTTGATAACATTTTCCTAAAATATTCCAACATTTAATTTGATACTTTTCATAGTGCAAGTATAATCTTGTTCTGGCTGCAAAAGAAGAAAGCAAAGGAATCATAGAGGATCAGGAAAAGAAGCTTGAAGAACTGAGGGAAGCCTTGGAGAGAAGACAAATAGCTGATAACATTGAGGTAACAACAGTAATGTTTGGTGTATTATGATTGTTTGTTCAACAGACCAATTGGATGTGGTTTTGCTTAAAATATTGTGTAAAGCTTAACCTGATTTTAGTTCGAACTATAGCTAGTTAAGCTGTTCTTAAAGGAATTTTTCATGAGATACCTGACAAATTCTGTTAAATTATGACATTACTTGACATAAATATTTTATAATCTACTTCATAAAAACCTACACTAAAAGCCTGGTTTAATTTTGTTAAGGCCACTAAGGAGTTATCAGCTGAATTTAATGGCAGCATTAGATAATGCAGCTGAGAAATTAAAACAGGTAAAAGAATATATTATGTTTAACATTCTCTCTTCCCCCACTGCTACTATATTCAGTAACATCTTTTCTTTACTCATAAGTTTAACTAAAAGCTCCACCTGCTGGAAACAATTTAGGACGCATTGTTGATTCAACTGCGGGTTTGCTTTTCAAAAGTATCTTTCTTTTTTAACTCTGTCTTTCCTGTTACTGCTGTCACCATTATTTTGGTGAATGTGTCCACCAGTCAAAACCACTAGCCTCTCCTTACGTGTAATTTCTACACCACTATCTGTCATATTAGATATGTTTAGTCCAATCAGGCAGCACCAATAAAGTCTTCCAGAATAGTGTTTGCTTCCCAAAAACCATTCTCAAATAGATTTCCACTATGTTTATTAAACAGACTATCTTCATTAATGATCATATTTAAACTTGACATTCTGGAACCCAAAACTTGAGTCGCCTTTTTTAAAACTGAAGTACCTGTTCTTACTACAATGTTATCATTGGGTGTATTTGGCTCCTGATAAAATCATAGTATTTCTCCTTTGACTTTGTACATCAGATACTCATTTCCATCATGCCTTCTTGACTGGACAAGAACAACTAATCTGAGGTGGCGTTTAAAATACAAAGTACTGTTTCTCCTTCTAGGTTAACACACCTTGGGTGGGTACTATGCCCTATTAGATAGGGTGGGAGTCTGGATCCTAGAATAAATCCAGAAGTTTCTACAGAATAGCAGTGCACTGAAAAAACTAATCACTAATTCAGCATGGATTAAAATTTATACATTCTTTTCTGGTTTCTTATTTAAAGAATTGTATCTCTTTTTAAATATATATTATACTTTAAAACAGTGGTAGATTCCAAATATCTCCCACAATTATCTAATTAACTATGGGAAAGTTCTCATTTGTGTTCTGCAACCAAGACAATGCATATGGAAAACATGCTAAAATAAGAAATTTATAGATGAATGATCGTGACATTTCCTGACGAAAAAGCGGAGGGAAAAGGGAGATGCTTGTAGCATCTTAGTAACAATGATGAAACATCTTGAAACAACTGCTTTAGAGTAATAACTTTAACATTTCTTTCTTTACTTATCCAATGACTTAAATCAGAGAGACCTTCTGTGTGAAGACTTGTATCATACCACTGATCAGCTGATGAGACTGACAGAGGCCTCTAAGAAACATGATTCATTGCTTCAGTGTGCACAGGAAGATATAATGAAGAAAGAAGCTCTAATACAGGAACTCAGGGAACAGGTAAATCAAGGAAATTCTTCTGATAATTACCTCCTTGGGAGGGAGCTGTGGTTAACTGTAGTTTCTAGAAAAGGTTTTACTTGTGATTTTAGAGCATGTTGTACGCAGTACTAATGGTGAAGAGCAATGTTTCTTCTAGCAAAAGCATAGCAGTAGTTCAAAAGCTTCTGCACAAAGGCTAGATAACTTTTAAATGCTTTGGCAATGGTGTCTAGAGATCACAAAAATGTTTACTCTGAAAGCAGAGTGAAATTATCAGTACCTATAATAACAGAGTAACCTGAGGTTATAAGCAGTATAACCTAGGGGATTACTTTTTTCCTCTGCTTAACACTTATCCACAAACAATATCATTATGTAATGGAGGTAATTGTTGAGCTCTATAATTTATGCTGTCTGAGGGTGATTTGGAGCTTTTACAGATCAAATAGCTATGTTAAGACTTTGTCCAAATTTTAGCTTTATTTGTCACAACTGTCATAGTACTAAGTAATACATTTGTGTTGGCAAAAACTCTAATGAGGATAAGTTACTTTGGAAAGAAGAGTTCTTTTGTCATGTTAGCCTATCATCTTTGATGAAACTGATTAAATCAGTTTTCATCTTTGAAACTGATTAAATCAGTAAAATCTTCGTATCAAATCATGTTCTGACCAGTAACGTTTGCCAGCAAAGTTCATCATTGTTCTTCTGTGCTAGCAACCCTTTGAAAGGTAGATTGTGTTAGCAAGGCAAAAAAAACCTAAACAAATACCAACAACAAGAAGAAAATTCAGATTAACTACACAGTAAAGTATATGGTGTATATATGTTTTCAAAAAATGCTTGTTACAAGTAACTATTGAATGATTAACAGTTATTAGGTAAATACAGGAAATAGTTATGGAAGTGAAGTTGAAGATAATCTAATCTGTGTACTTAAGCTTGCTCAGAGATCTGCCTGCCGTTTTCTTTAATGTATTGTGAGCTAATTTAATTCTAATTGGGGTTTCTAATAGTTGGACAAAATGACAGAAGAACTGGAGAAAAGGAAGAATGAATATGAACTAAAAATGAAGCAAATAGATTGCTTTGTGGACTCATCTTCAGTAACATTTCCTGAGGTATGGCACTTTTGAGAGAAACATTTTTCGCTGCAATGACTGGTAAAACTTATTGAAAAGGACTAATGAACTCTACAGCATGTCTTCAGGCTGGGACCAGAAATGACAGTGCATAGGGAATGGTTAAATCCTGTTCACCTTGTTTGTATCTTAAATGTATTATTGATTTGTCTGCCAGGAATTTACTTGCATATATCTTCAATTAAGTATTAAAACATGTAACTGATGCATAGGGGAAACAGTTCTTTACTAACAGTTTGTGGGGTTTGCTTCTTTTAACTTGCCAGTGTCCAAAAACTCCCCCTAATTTCGACGTGAATTTGGCAAAGCTCTTGGAAACTCACGAGCAAGAAATAGCTGATCGGAGGGCTTCTGCAATAAATCTGGAGCACCTTGTACATGAACTGAATGAAGAACGAAGAGCTAAAAATGATGAAATTCTAAGGCTGAAGGTACTAGGAGTTAATCTCTACAGGCAGTTTGTAAGGTTACCATAAGACAGAATACAGAGTTCAGATTTCTAATGAGCTTTGCTGAGTAGTCTGTCCATTAAAGCAGGAAGGCAGTTCTTGGTCTTCTCTTTACCTAGGCTGGTAACAAATGGTGACAACTTGCTTGAGATGTCCCTATATCTTGTTTTCCCAAGGACTGAGCTGTTTTGTGTTCATGAATATCTAATATCACTTTTGCTGATGAAACTGTTTTGATTTATTCTAAATCATGTTTCTAATGAAACAGTAAACAGAAGGGTGATGCAGATCTTCACCAGAGAACTGTGCTTGTTCTCTGATAAATAGTTTTGTCTTATGTTCAACTAGAAATGAAAACAGGAATTGCAGTTTGGTCTTCAAATAAAATGTTTCAAATTTCACTTGCTTAGGAGCAGTTAAATGAGTTGGAGAACTTGCGTCTGGAAATGCAGATATTGGTGGAGAACAACAGGAATTTACAGTGCCTTGTAGAAGCTCAGAGACTTAGCAAGAACAGGTAAAGTAAAATAAAACAAGAAAAACTTGTCTTAACTTGAAGCAGTTAAGATAAACAAATCTACAGTTCTTATTTGAAACACAATCTTACATATTGTTCATAGAAGTAGAGATTGACTTGGCATTCTCTATGAAAATGGGTTACTGGCTTGTAAACTTTATTGCCTTAAAATCACAAATTCTTAAATACAACGAAGTTTTACAAATGCAGTGGAACTAGAATGTAAAATAATGACATGCATAGCCCTTTCTGTGCATTATATACTGCCATACCACTTGTGCAGTTATGGATTCAGTAGATAGGAAATTAATTCGGCGCAAGTTTTAACATAGCTATGAATGGAACCCGTTCTCCATCTTGTGTTTTCGAGGGTAAGGGATGAACTTCCTCTGAAAAGGTGGTACGCTGCGGTATACCTCCAACTGGAGATATCCTGAGGTTTGGTTCAAACTGTGGTCTGTACAGCTTAGGTTTGGATGAAAAATACTCTATTTTGTGGCTTACCTTTTTTGTTTTTTCTTTGTTTTCAGTACTGTAAAGCATTAAATAATCTGCTGTTTACATCTTCTGAAAAGAAATCTTAACTGGCAGCAGTTGATATTTAATGACATTTTTTTAAGGGGCAATTTAGTAAACAGAAACTTAATGCTAGGTAGGAGTTTAATCTTCTTTTGCCTAAAGAATGTATGAAAAAATATTTTCCAGGACTTTGATACCTCAAATGGTCCCAACGCTGTGTTGGTTTGAGGGTTATTTTAACTCTATGGTGTTTGCTTACTTCCATCCAGTGTCATGTTTATTAAAAACTAACAAAAGAATAGAGATAAGTGGTGTCAGTTTTAGAACTGACTTTTGGGTAAAATAAATATTAAATGTAAAAGAACAGTATTAAATTGGCAAAATTATATATTCCGACTAGAAGACACTGTAATTACAAGTGTCTATGCAACTCAATTCGCCCTTCTATTACATATGTTATACAGTAATCTTAAATTGTGAAGGGATTCATTTGTGGAGAACATTCTGTGCACAGGGTGGGACAGGTCAGGTGGGATACCAAATGATGATGTCATCTTTAGGCTGTTCTGCTTAGTTTGCAACAGACATTTGGAAGTGAGTGAATTGAAATGGCAGTCACAGAAAATCAAGATTTTTATTTTACTATTTGTCTCCAAATTTGTGTCTGTTGCATATTCGGTGCCAGCTGCACAAGACTGGATTGACTTCACCATTTTCGCAACAGCACGGCAGTGAGCGGGAGCCCCTCTCTGCAGGCAGAGCAGGTGCAGGGTCCGTGTGCATGGTGCCCGCAGGGAAGGGAGGAGTAGGTGGTCCTTGGCAGATGAAGTACTAGTTCTTTAGTGAGTACAATGGCAACCAGAGGCATAAAAAGTTGTTACAAACCGCAAAACATATATATTCTTTCAAGAGATGTAAATTCTTTACTTGCATACAAAACCTGTTGTAGAAGACAACAGAAAAGAAGTACAAGGACGATTTTCCATGTTCCTCCACATTTGTGGCACCACAAGCAGGCTTGTGTGTGTGTGTGTGTGTGTGTGTGGCCCAGTGCTAGAGAGCGAGATGATTTGATCATCGGCATCACATGTGACAAAGTAATGAGATGTGACATCTTGGCCTGCATTGGAGGGTATCTGGGAATACAAAATGAGACCAAGCGCTTGCTCTCTTTTGGTATTTAGCATTAGGGCAGGGCAGAGCAAGCTATATGGTAAAGGTCAGCCAGCCTTCACCTCTAATGCTAAGATGGAGCAGGCTCAGCTCACTACTGTGAGGCTGGTACAGGCTTACCAGTATTAGAATTTGAAAGGCTCAAGCATAACCAATGATTTTAAATCAGAGGTTTTAACATTCATTGATGTATCCACTGAGAATAAGTAAACAAAGTGTGTTGCAGTTTTGTCCAACCATTTATAAGCTGGATGAATTTGGGTGGATTTTGGAAGTGGGTGGTACCAAAATTTAACAAGGAAAATTTGTGATTTTAGTTTTCAGAACTTGTTAGACTTTTTAAGCTGGCATTAATTCACACTGACAAAAAAACCACCCACACATATGCACACTTTCTCTCTCAGACTGAGGCTGTTTATATCAGACATGAAAAAGAAACCACCCTAGCTAGGTATATTGACAAAGGTTTTAAGTCACTGAACGTAGTGATCTTTTAGAATTGCATCAAAGTACAATCACCGTTAATCAGTTAAGTTCTTCCCTTATGGCACGCTAGAAGCATGAAGTGGTCCCAATGGTGTGTTGGTTTGGGGGTTATTTTAATTTTATGGTGTTTGCTTACTTCCGTCCAATGTCATCTTTATTAAAAACGAAGAAAAGAAAAAGTTTCCAAGTCTCCTGAACACCAAAATCTTTTACCTGCTTAACTTGGCAAGACCACTGAGCAACAACCTCGTGGATTTCTGCAGCCTACGTGCACGTGAACATCATGAACTGATAAAACACTTACCTCAATCTCAAAGCTGTCTAACCTACAGTTGCATAGTTATTACATTTTCAATTGTTTTCCTTAGAACATTAGTTTCTCTGTACTCTAACGAAGGAAAAGGTGATGTTCTTGAAATACAAAAGTTTAAACCCTGCTAAAGTCTTTTCATGACGTTCAGTATTCTGAGTATCAACATGTGTCAAGACAGCTACACACACTTACTGCTTTAATCTGGATAAGATGATGTCTTTACAACCGGTTTCCTCTGTTTGTGAGAAACTTGCCTCATTCTTGTATTTCCTAGTGATCAGAAACACCCTGATGTTCAGTATCTCAAAGAGAAAGAGGAGGAGATTGCTGAAGAACGACTCGCCAAGGTCTGTTGCCCTTCTCATCTCAGTTGCTGTTTCCCTGCTCTGAAGTACTAACAGGCTTTCTTCTGGTTCATGGCGGTGAAACAAACAGTGATTTCTAGGGAAGTCTAACAGAGACGGACGGATACTTATCTCTTAAGGGTTCTACCTCGGTCTGACGCCGATGAGCTGGGTGTCAGATTGCACCAGAAGCAAAACAGATTCAGATCACTAAATGTGACTCATCTCACAGAGCTGGAAAGTGAAGATCGTGTCACATGCCAATGTCAAGGCTCTGCCAAAGGGAAGTTAATGTCGCAGCAGAGGTTGCCGTGGGTCTCCCGGGCAGAACAACCCCCTGTCTGTTAGAGCTCTGCTGAGTGTGAACAGGCAGAGAGAGATTGCTGTGGGTCGTTTGCGCTGGCATGAAATTGGAAATATGTGCATAGCACAGAGATGAACTTACAGTGAGTGTTAGAGATGTGAGTTACTGGGCAGCGGGGTGATTTTGGTAGCACCTGGAATGAGATACGTAGCATCAATTAAGTGACAAATACTTTTACATACATATGTATATTAAACATCAAGAATGCAACTAATGTTTTTGAACTTTTACAGAATAAAGCAGTGGAGGAGATGCTGAAAATCAAAGCAGAGTAAGTTTAAATATTGTTCATTGAACTGGACACTTGTATTAAATTCCTTAACACCAGAAAGGTCTATTTCAGCAGTGGAAGTCCAAGATCTGAAACTATAAAAGATGTAACTTGGAAATGCCGTTTGCACTTCTGCAAGACACATTGAGTTTTTGCTCCATCTCATCAGTAGGTGGTAGTAGCACCTATTGCTGCGTTTTCTAACAGGGTGGCAGTAGATCAGGACAAGACTCTGAAACAGGTGGAACCATAGAAAAACTTAAATTGGAAGGGACACTTGAATTGTTTAAAAGTATGTTTTGAAGTCTTCTATATACAGTGAATTCTAACCACATTCAAATTCAGTTGAAATACTGTTCATTCTTTATTAATATCGTAAATATTTTATAATTTTAAACTTAACCTAACTCTTTGCGCTTTTTTATGCTATTTGTTTAAATTTTTGTGCTTCAGATGGAATAATGAAAATTGTTTGTTCTTAGAGGATTCCTAGATTGTGTTTACGTTATTGTGCAAGTAGTCCTCAAAATTCAAGTGTTTTGCACCTTGGCTGGACAGTAGTCAAGAAATAGCATACTGGATTGTTAGGTAAAAACTAGTTTGAACGTGTCGCTCCTGTGATTCTTTTCCTAATCTATATGGCTTCAGGACTCATAGTGGTTGAATCTCCTAATATTTGAGTTACTTACCTTTAATGGAATGCTTTCTACGTAAGTAACTTCTTTTAAGGATGAAGATAGTTTTTATGCTCACAGTTATTTCAGAAGTAATTCATGCTACGTTTTCTGGAAAACCGAGGCTTGATTAGGGGTTATCTTGCCATGCGATGCATTGGGGTTAGACCTGTCTGGTCTCTGAAATACACGTTATAACGGTGCTACAGTGTCTCACACGAACAGATAATGTACAAAGAGGAAAAAAGATTCTTTTTGTCATCACAGCAATGTCTTGACAAATGCCTCAGAGGAATACTGTTTTCATTGTAGGTCTCAAACATCGAACAAGACTGAAACAAAACTGATGACAAAATTATTTCAATTTATGCAGTATTTGAACAGAGACGCAAAGCTACCAAAGTATACATAATCAGTAGACAGGCTAAGTTTGATGGCATGGTTTAGTATTCTCTGAGCCTGATCAAATAAAGATATATTTTCAGCAGGCAAGACATCTATCCAAAGTGCTGGTCCTTCTGTTACCGGGCCAAAAAAGCTCAGACATCTCTGAGCCGTTGAGAGATGTTTCTGAGCAACAGGGCTACAGACAAACAAGCAGCGTAGGGTAAACTTGCAGAGCAGCAGAGTTCATCGCTGGGAGAGATGTTTCTGAGCAACAGGGCTACTGGGGAAAAGCCACCAACAAACAAGCAGTTTAGGGTAAACTTGCAGAGCAGCAGAGTTCAT